GCCCTAAGAGGTTCTCTTTAATATTTCCATAGCACTACACATCAGGCCCACAGCTCTATAATAGCCACAAGGATGAGTTGGGATTGACTCTGACAAGTGTCCAACACTTGTGGTCTTGTGTCCTTCATATACTGTACGCGTTCCAGCTTAAGTCTGCAAGGGCTCAGGGTGTCCCATTTCTAAATTAGTGATTCACAAGATTTACAGTTTAAAAACTCATGATATTTTATGTAAAAATAAACGTTTATTGGGGTACTTTAGATTCATACTGTAATCTTGGTACGACATTTTGACATCAAACTTTTATTTTCGACTCTTTATTTCGACTGATGAATATTTGTTTACCTGCAGAGTATTTTGTACACGGAATATTAAATAGTACAATAGTATGTAATAGTACAAAGCTTTGAAGTAGTGCCAAGTTTACCTTATTTAGTTTAGTTTGAATGAACGTGAATGACCGTTCCTCGAACTGTCATTTTTGTACTGGGGCAGACAATATCAAATATATTTAGCATACAAAGCTTTGAATAAACAGTGGTATTGTCAAGTTTTCCTTAGTTTACTTCGCCCGTATTTAGTCGAATCTGCTCAACACGACGTGTCACTACTCGCAGGGATACACGAGAGGACATTCAATTTCATCAAACTGCGAGTGGAGAATGAAAAATTAATCATTAAAAATATATATTTTCCGACATGCGTTTAGCCACTGGAAAAGAAGCACCAACAGGAAGCATTTTGACCCTGAGCCGTGTAAGCAGTGAGTGACCCCAAGGGAGGGTGTCCCATTACTCATCTTATAACTATGCACCCTCGAAGACTCGCGCACTTGAAGACCACACCTGCTCTACGTCACAGAACTGCGAAACTGGGGGAAGGGCTTGAGGCACAGTGCAAGAACTGGGACACGGCCGCCGCTATCCGTTAAGTGCTGCGTTATCACCAACGCGTCTTCCTTCTGCACCGCCCACGCGATAGAATCGGTCAGGAGGCTCCAGCCTGTCACGATCTTCTTGAACTTGAACTTGAACTTTATTGCCATATGTAACCGGTACTGGTACAATGGAATTCTTACTCACAGAAAGTCTCTCAATTGTAAAACAAGTGTAAAAAACAAGTGTAAAAAACAAAAAAGTGCAAACAGTGCATCAAGACAATGTACAAACAAACAATCTTCCCCTCTCTAGAGGGTGCTCCTACCCTTTTGTATTCCCGTTAGTTTTAGTTCCTACACCTGTGTCTTGTTGCTGTTTTTGTTATTTAAGTCTGGCATCTCCGTTCTTCTGGGCTAAGGATTGGAAGACGGAGGCCCGGAGGCCCGGAGGCCTAGCACCAAGTTGCCCCACGTCCGCAGCTTAAGGGCATACTGTAAGCTTCAGAACTGTATTCCAGTGATCGTCTGGATGGATGTCCCGGCACCTGGACCTTGGACTGCACCCTGATTCCCCTTTCTGGACTAGTTTGCTACACCCCCCTAGCACCGGATTACTGTCGTCACCGCCCCCCCTGTCTGTCATCCCGTCCTGATCCTCGCCATGTCTTCCCTTTTGCAAAGGAACAAGTAATCGGGTGTCTTCCCTTTTGTCCTTCTCCAGTCACTTCTGGATTATATCGTCCGCATAGGGTCTTTACTACGCATTTCACGGGAGTCAGGACCGGCTCCAATGATAATGGAGTTGTGGCACTGTAGTTAAGGCTCTGTGTCTATGGGTGGAAGGTTACTGGTTCAAATCCCATGGCTGGCAGAGAAATCCTACTCTGTTGGGCCCTTGAGCAAGGCCCTTAACCCCAACTGTTCCAGGGGCGCTGTACAATGGCTGACCCTGTGCTCTGACCCCAAGCTTCTCTCCCTGTCTGTGTGTCTGATGGAGAGCAAGCTGGGGTATGTGAAAAAGATGAATTCCCAATGCAAGAAATTGTATATTGCTAATAAAGTGATGTTATCTTATCTTATACAGCCAGCAGGTACCACTCGGCTAATTCGTTATCATTGCATGTGCACACAGTACCACCCTTCCCCATTACGCGGTCTGGTCCTAAACAGATCGGGTGGCTTACCCGTGACAACTTAAGCAACCTTGATCTTTCCTATATAGTTTATCCAGCTGACCTTAAGCATAACTACTGTACATTTCTTGAAATACTGACCCTTCTATTAAAGACACCTTTGCTTTGAAAGGACTGTTATTTTTTAAAGCAAGAGATTTTACAACTGGAGCATATGTTCTATTTCTTCTAAAAGCGTACTGGGCATGACTGTGCAATGCCCACTTGGGCAGTTAAAGTTTTTTTTAAAACTTTTTCGCTCTCTAATTTAACCCACTAAAACCAAAAGTTAAGAGGTATACCAATACAACACTTATGTTTCCAATAGCATACAGTATTGTGCGACCTTTTCTACACACCTTTTCTATCAAGGTCTTGAGACCTCTCTTGAGAGCTGTGCCCTGGGAGCTGGGAGTACCATACCATTCTGTATTTTTAGCACGCTATTCTCTTCGGGACCTAACCCGGAGTGTAGTTTAAACTACAAAAATATAATGTTCATATTTCTAACATTTAAATAAAATTTAAACAAATGTTAGACCATTTTATATACGGTATGTAATGAGGTCCATTAAAACGCAATGAATTATTCTATAGCTTTCAATTCTCATGTGTTGCGTTGTGTTTTTTTTTTCCTTATTTTAAAATGCTCAAGATCGCATCATGTGCCTCCAGTTATTTTAGAAACGTTTTTGAAATCATATTGACTTCTGTGGCTGGGCTACTAGTGTAATAACTAGATTCTGTAATCTTAATTAGATAGCATCAGGAGCTTTGGAATGTTGCACCCATTATTTAACAGCCTTACGGAGCAACTTAGCGCAGAGGGCAAACAACGGATCCTGTCAGTTCAACTTCACACTCGCCGCGGTCTAAACAGCTTGTAAGAGTACCGGGAGCTGTCCACTCAATTTGTGGTGCTGAAGTGCCTCCAGAAAACAATGGCTGATGCGCATTTTACAGTGGGGCAGAAATTGTCTGCCGCCCACGCAATCTTTGCACACTTTCAGGGACGGGTGTTAGTGGACTGCAGTGCTGTAGTTTGATCGTAGGCTTTGACATCTACTCAGATATCATTAAAACCGTGAAAACGACCAGGCAGTATGTGTATTTTCCCAAATGTGGAAATAAAAAAAGCAAAGTAGAAAACCCCCTATCTTTGAAAAACTATAGTAAAATGTTGTTTGTGTTTTACATACAGTATGATTTCTATATATTTCGTTGCATGGTTGGTAGCTCTACAGTAGCAAGAAGTTGATACAGTATCTGCATTACTAGGTTATTCGGTTGACTCAAACTATTTTCTGACTATTCCGAAGACAATCTGCTTTTAACACTTCTTGTATAGATCATTGCCTTGAATTTCTTCATATGTATTCTTAATATATTTCATAATACTTCTTAAATTCTTAATATACTGTATGTTAGCAGTTATTGTATTTATTTTCTGTTCTGGTTTCAGATCAACCTTATCGTCTCAAAATTATAAAGAAACCCATTCATGTATTTTACTCTCGATATACAGTAAGTATTGCATACAAGCAGTTATCATTTTTTCTTAAAGGGTTCAACGTTCGTGTTAAGGGGGAGTGATCTCACTGGAGTATTGCTTTTTGAACTTTTGATGTGCAGTAATCAGTTTCAAAAATAATGCTTACGTAAAAATTGAGGCTCCCAATCAGATTACCTTCCAGTAAACAGCAGTACGTGCTAATGACTAAAGCAGCGTCGGGTGGCAATTAAGAATTTATTTTACATCTATTGTAACTACAAAAGTGAATTAAATGTTCAAATGAATGTAAAGATCAAAACGTTAAAGTTTTGATTTCTTGCTGTGTACTGTATAAGTAATACAGTATATTATAGATTTTTTAGAGCTTACAAGTTACTATCACCTCATTCCAAGACCAAACCATCATGTGATCTCTCCTTGGAGTAAGAGCTGTCCACAGCCGAGGTAGATTTTTATTTATTTCTGCTTGTATACATTTGGGGGAGAAAAGACTTTTAAGAGAAGTCTCAGTAATGACGAGCAGGCGATGCTCGTGCGTCCCTACAAAACAATTCGCTTTTAACATAAACCAAATGGGTTTTATTTAAATCTCAAAGTGCTAGAAATGATATTTTAATGTCTTCTTTCATCCTTGTTGTAGCTTCATTGGAATGTTTAGAACAGCAAAATTAAAATGGGAGTCAATGTGAAGTCCCCACAAAGAAACGATTGGACGCGTGTGTAAGTGTAAATGTGAAACTACTGTATCACATCTGATCTTATTGCACCTGTGAAAACAATATTATGTCACTAATCCATGTCAGAGTACAGTTTTCAACTCACTTCTACATCACTTACTGTACTGTACATACTGTATGGATCTAAGGGGCAAGCATTCCGTAAGATGCAAAATAACATTACTTTATTATTTTACTATTGATACTTTTAATCTTTACAAATACAGGATTAGGCTACCCTCTGATGGCGGTCTTGGAAACTACCTCTATTAAATTTGTTTTTATCCATCTAACGTTCAAAACGGACATCTGCTAAGCACCTAAAGCCTTCCATCAAATACTGTACATACCCCTGAAAATACAGTAAATGTACAAGTACAGTATAAGTCTAACTGAAAGAAATTTCATTTATTTTTATAAAGCATATTTTCGCTGAGTACTGGAGATTATCGTTTAGTGGCCTTTTGTTCTATTAATTTATTAATACTTCAAAATGTATTCCGGATACTAGGCTACTTGCACTTCAATTTCGTTTTTTTACTTAAATCAATACCTAAAAATATTCCGGATTCGTAGTTGCGTTGAAGGCATTCAGAAGTTATTAGTATTTGCAACGACACCTTACTTGTTGAGAAAATCGTCTCGTTTCATTGGCGGTCCTTGTTTAGCCAGATCCAGCCCTTGGCAAAGGGCTACATCGCAAATAGAGGTATTAACGACCTTGTAGGAGTGGGTGGGGAAATCGTTTGCGCCTTTTTTGACAGAATGACAGATAATGGACCAAATGTCCGTTTGTGTACTATATACTTTTGTAAGAATCACAAGTTCTGCAGATTTGTTGAATTCTTGGGGAATACTGATGTATTGGCAAAGCGAAAGGAACGCTAAGTAAGCAGAAAGGTCTGAGAACAGGAGAGAGAAAAAAAACTGCACACTCTGCTCCCCTGTTGTTATCGGGGCTCTGGGATAGATTTTTCTTTCCTGAAAAGGACTGAGCGTCTCATTTACCTCCCCTTGTGTTTTTATTCTCCCCAGAGAGGTAATTATGGTGTGCGAAGAGAGGTGACGTCCTTCACTTTGATTCCCGATATTAACAATAGCAATAACACAGCGACGGCTCGGAAGAGGGAATCCCAGAAGAAACTTAAAACGGAGATTGGAACCTCAGAGGATCTGGTAAGCGGGTACTCGTTTACAAATCCACTATTGCTTGTATTGATAAAGCAGTGAAGCGGCGCCAATGAAGACTAAACTGAACAAAAGTCTGCGAGAAAAGACGGGCTGTCCCTCAGTGGGAAAACCAGATAGGAAGACTAGGTAGAGAGAGGAAGGGGGTGGGGGAATAGCACAACCTATATGGGGATTATTGCAGCACCACAGTCCGTTAATCTTCGATGCTCCGCTCCAGGAATTGAGAGAGTAACATGAATGAAAGACAATAAATGGAAATGAGTAGAAGAATTTCATCCTGTGCTGTAATGATAAAGGAATATTGAATAATGTAAGGTTTGCACAGCTTTTCAAGTGATTCAAACAGAAGATCAGTGAAGCAAAACGGCTACTTTGAACATTGCAGTGTTGGCACTTCGGTTCAAATGGAATTCAGCGCCGGTCGTTAAGGTTCTCCGCTAAAAATTAAGGTATTTCACTCTTTTTAAAGCATACGTCGTGTTCGTTATGGTTTTGTTCCCGAAGACGTTTGGGTTATTACACAAAATGTGTTAACAGTATCGTGAAGGTATGTTTTTTATAGCTGTAATGCTGCAAACAGTTGCAGCTGGGTAACGTTATTGAGGCTTCCTGACACAATAGGCAAAATCACGAATCGAATTAAACACGGCACCTTAACAAGGATATTAAAGAAAGCTGTTTTTCGCTTGGTGACGTGTTGTGTTGCCCAGCCAGGCGGTTTATTGGGGCACTTTTATTTTTTTCATATTTATATTTGCCGCAAGGTTTAATATCGGGCTTGATAAGAGATTGATGAGTTCTAATAAAGTACTCACGCTGTACTGTATAAGGTGATTTTGAAATTCGGAACTGCGGACCAGTGATGCGATTTATAAAAAAGCGCGACATTAAAATGGCAGAAAAATGGTTTTCTGTCAGAGTAAAATAAATAATAATAATTAGTTTAATAATTTTAATATGCACAGTAATACAGACTTCACATTCTATTAATACAAGAGAATGCTGTATAAGGGTATTCGTGTTATTTCAGACTATTCATGTTCTTAGACGACCTCTAATGAACATGGTATGGAATTACAACATTTTTAAATGTTGGTTCATATAGACCAACAAAAAGGCAAAATTTCCTTGAAATTATTATAATTCTAAACGATGTTTCATTGTACAAGAGTGATGTAAAGATATACAGTAATTCATACTGTACAGTATGTACGTAAGAAGATGCCCTGATTATGGGGAGCTTTGAATATTCAACACACTTTATCCTGAAGTGCAGGATACTTTCCCCTTAGCTAACAGTATTTAATCAATTATTAATTAAAAAACTGTGAAGTAATGTTTAACTTCACATTTAATTTAACTGTTTAATCTGCTGCTTTACATTTCTATCAGTTTTATGGCTTTCACCAGTTTCCGATGGAAGAACCTGCTGGTTTTGAATTTCCTTTGTTTCAGGTATGGACAATGGGATGCTCTGCTTTGTTACAATGAAACCCCCACTGGTTTTCTTTTTGATCATCAGCGTGATCTGCCGTCTTGGGTAAAGCATGGCTATCTTCTACCCTTCTTTTTCTGTTTTATTGCAATCACGAATGTGACAAGGGCATCAGGAACACTAGGCAGGGTACAACTTTATAATATTAATTTAACATTGCATTCTTCCATTGAAATTGATATCAACTTTTATCCCACTGAATCTATCAGCTTCATGATCATCATCACCAAAACCTACATTATTGGTCCCCTCACACACCTTGAAACTGACTCTTCATAAAATCACAAACCATGTCATCACATGAGTTACATACTGTATGTCATATACTATACAGTATGTATACCCGTCCAAGCCTCAAAAATGTATACAGAACCCCCCCCCCCAACATAATAATTTATGTAAATACCATTGGCAGGAGTTTTCATTTGAATTCCAAATTGTTCCTGTTTACAGTAAACTTGTATTACAGTAGTTCCATTGAAGCAATGCGAAACTGTTCAGTTACAGATTCAATTACATGTACATGTTCAAGTGACTATGTAAAAATCTAGATATTTCATATAGGTCCTATTGTTCCTGTTCTAGTTTGTCCCAGATGGCAGCAGGAACTGTTACGGAAGAAACAAATGACAATATCACCATCTTCACCAGGATCTTAGATGGACTGCTGGATGGATATGATAACAGGCTTCGTCCTGGACTGGGAGGTATGGTGTGCTGTATATACAGTACTGTATATGAATAATAGAATAATGACCCATGAGGTTTAAAACACCATAATGTATAAGCTTTTTCAAGTCCTACACTATGTATTATATCACCTACAGTACATCTACATCTAAGACAATTCCAGGAAAACGGTTTCACTCTTTGCATGGTAATGAGCTGTATGAGTATTTTTTTGTGCTGTAAATGCTTTTAATCGGTACTTACAGTAACTTGCAAATCTGAATTTGGCATGAAACATCTCATCTAGTACAGTATGTCCAAGCTTTAAAATCTTTAAAGATTGGTGTTTGAGGAGCATAATGTGAATGGACAAGCAATTTTCACTTTATTCACTCAGTTATTTCTGTCAATACAGCATATTGTAATCAGCTTTAATTCGGATTCTAAATTCAACAATGCATTGAATGTAACGGAAGTATTTTTATACTGGTGTACTGTATTTCAATAAATATACAGTATTACAAATATGAAATAAAAGAAATACAAGCAGTAACATTTTCAGTTCACTGAATTCCGTGCAAACATTTTTTTAGTGATAATGTTATTAGTAACAACCCTAGTGTTCATAGAGGGGTTATTATATTTCATAAGAAGGTACATGGCCATTTACTTAACATAACATTTACTAAAAAATAATTGTAGTCAGCATTTCATAAATTACAAAACCATATGGGACAATTACATATGTCCTATTACAAATGAATACATCTTGAGATTTAACGTTTCCAAGTGAACTATGTTTCCTGCATGTTTCTGTAAAGGAAAGCTGTTTTCTGATCAATATTAACTTTATCAAAGAGAATCTACTGTGTGCAAGGACTACTCATATTTATATTGTAACACTGTCTTCAAGGAACTACGTGCTAAAGATGTTATTATATTACATTAATGTATATAATTATATTATATATTTTATTTGTATACTGTATATCTGTACAACAGATACATTTTCTTTGTTTTCCTCATCTTATAATATAAACCCAAAATTTGCTTGAAATTGCAGGGTTGAAAAGGCTCTTCCTTTTAATTTAAATCTAAGCAGTGTCAATGACACCTTACACGCGCAGTAGTACAGTAGTGGACTTGTACTGTAGATGGTTAAACTTATTTCTGTAAGAGAGAGGAGTTTTTTTTGGTACTTGCATCAGTGAAATATGATTCCTACAGTATATTGCAGTCTCCAGCTGTTACCTTTTCCAGTTTTAGCACACACAAACACTGAATTCATTTTATATACAGTATGTGCAAGGTCGAAGCATAAAAATGTTTGCAATATTTTGTTTATTTGTACTCAGTGTTTAAACTGCAAAGTTTCATTTTACTTTGCTTGATTCCACTTTCTCTTCCAAGATTTCTAAAAATATGTTTATTAATATCTATGATTACATAGATTTAAATACAAATACAAAGGAACAACATCTTATCTAAAGCACCAAAGCAGGAAATCATTTCTATAAAAAGTTATAGAAATCAGGAAAATAAATATGCTTTTTAAAACTATTTAAAAATGTTTGTTAACAAAAACAACTGCTTGCGGTTCCCAAAATAATACAAAGTCAACCACATAAATGAACACAAGTGTTGATGACTTATACAGTACTTAACGCATGCTTTTCAAATGAATAAATACAGCTCTTATGTACAGTATTTGTGTATTTACTGTATATTTAATACTGTTATAATTTAAATAATGAGTTGTTTAAATGGAGTTTATAACACAAGTTTGGGAGGGATGTCAACAGCAATCTGTAATCATTCCTTACATCATTTCCCCAGATAAAAAATATAAACACTGTAATTGTGCCCCTTTCTCCCTCGCACAAGTCTTTTACATTCCTCCTTCTCCACCTCACCTCCACCTTGCTGATGCCCTTGGTCACTCTTCACTCTGCATGTGGTCACTAGTCTCTTTGTCCTATGGCCAGGAGAATCAGCAAAGCAGGATTTGCTAAAATTACTCTGATGAAAACACCCAATAAACCTTTCAATATGCTTAATGTTGCTATTCGTAGTCAAAAGTATGTTTGGCTTCAAGCATTAAAAACTATGAACTTTTAAAATGTCTTAGGTAGTATATATAACTAAATTATCCAGTTGGCTCCATATAAAGTGAGACACCCTACTTTATTTTTTTTTCTATGATGCCTATAAAACAGTGTGATCAGCACAGAAGACATGATAAAGTTATAAGTACATTCTGGTCTGAGAAGGAAAAATAATAGGGAAAATTATATTTAATAAAGCTGTCACCAGAGAAACCCATGGTATTTCTCTTATGACCTTCCTTTTAAATGATCTAAGAGAAGAAAATGTGACCATATTTTAAGGATCACGTTACACCTACTGTAATTCTGTAGTGTATTAAGTCACACTTTCATGCATGTTCACCATTTGAATTCCCTTGTTTCACTAACAAGAAGTTCCTAAAAAGGGTACATGTGATCAAAACATGTATGGTCTCTAAACTGTTAATGTCATTTACAGTATAAAGTTAATTTTAACTTTTGATCTGGCAGAGAGCATGTGACAAAATAAAGCAAACAGTTCTATCCGGTTTTGCTTTTCTCCTGGTCTGTTCATTTACCCCATATAAATGTGCATCCATTACCCCATGTATTATGCCCAGTGATTACAAAAAACAAAATGGACATTTTATGGTATGCCAAAACAATGCTAAGCCTAATGCTAAGGCTATTTAGTTTTTGGATGTCTTCTTATGGAGGTGCCCTGGTGTAACTGTGCAGAACAATTCCCAAGCCATACATTTTGCATGGGACATACAGTAAAGTATTCTCAGAATGATGTTGTTTTTTATAACATTTTGCAGAAAGGTTAACGGAGATAAAGACAAATATCTATGTTACAAGCTTTGGCCCAGTATCGGATACTGAAATGGTAAGTCTTTCATTAAAATAAGTAACTGTTATGTTGCTCCTATGATATTTATTGAATTTGTGTAAAGTTAATTGCAGTTTCTTTACATTAAGATGCCTCCCTGTTTTATATAGGAATATACAATTGATGTTTTCTTCCGCCAAAGCTGGAAAGACGAACGCCTTATGTTTAATGGTCCTATGAAAAACCTACCTTTGAATAACCTTCTAGCCAGCAAAATATGGACTCCAGACACCTTCTTCCTTAATGGCAAGAAGTCAATTGCTCACAATATGACAACTCCCAACAAGCTACTCCGACTCGGGGATGATGGGACTCTTCTGTACACAATGAGGTAAAATGGTGAACTTTTAGACTGCTGTTCAATATCTGCCCATCTGTCTTTTCTTAAATCAAAAGTGACTATAACAGTAAGTCCCCAAGCCTGGTTCTCATTTGAGATTATAAACTTTTTATGATAGGGATGATGCTGAAACACTATCCTGAAGGTGTTCGCTCAGACCTGTATGGGGAAGGAGAAGATTGTTTGATTTGGCCCTACTACTGTAGTTTCACTTTATAGGAAACAGCATAACGTTTCCTAGAGAGGTGCTTTTCCTGACTGAAAAAATGCTAATTCATTTTTTTTTTCAATAAAATTGTCTGCATCCAATTTCTACTGCACTGTCTACACTGCCATTAATTTGCCATTTATCAGGGTACAGTATAACATTTCATTCCTGACCACTGAATTCTCAGTTTTACAAATACAATAAGATGCCATATACTACTGTATATCATTCCAGTTACTCTCTTAATATCAGAGAACAAAGCAGGAAAGAGGAATATGACATAGTGTAATTACTTGTGACATTATTTTTTAGACATTTTACTTGTACTATTCCAATATATCACTATTGCCACTGCTTCTACATCCCTTTGACAACAGAAAAATATCCTTCTATTTAGTGTTTGAAATGCATATTGATAAATTAAGGTATCAATATGGGCAGGCACAAATAGTGAAAAACATCGACAGGAGTGATTCATGTAAAATTGCTATGTTACCTTAAACATCCCTTTAAGCTTGAAATATTTATGATGCATTGTACTGGCTTGTGATTTATTATGTAGGGATATATTTTGTATTATTTTTGACAAATACAAATATCCAATGAATAAATGGATGAGACTAGGCAGAAATAATACAGTAGTAGCAGAATTAGTTATGACGCTGACTTCCAAAATGGACAATACAAAATAACAGGGAATAATATGTGAAAGATTAGAGAGAAGGATTTCGATACTCTAAATACAAAACAAACAAAAAAAGATTTTTGGTTGCATCAGATTTTATCTTACACTGAATATTCTTGTACGTTGATTTTTTTGGGGGGGTCTGGAACATTTTTGTACAACTCATTCAAAACCAGACCTGATAGCTTCTATAACAACATTCCGAATTTCTGAAGAAGTCTATAGGTTTCAATAGGGAGCTGAGACATTTCTCTAGCAAAATCTGTAGGCGTTTTATGTTAGGGAAGAGACATACAGTATTGTCAAATTCAAGAAAATCAATGTGTTATACATATACGTTTAACAAGATGGCAGTATAACAGCATGAGTTCCTTTTTTGTTTTTGTTCAGGTTCATGAAGTGGAAATAGGTAACTTGATATATGGCTGACTGTACTAAAACCAGTTTTTAAGATGGGTTCTTTAACAATTACTTGTTATTAGCTCTTCTAAATTTTAATGTTGTAGAAGGGGCTAAACTCATCAATAATGACAATATTTAGCCTAATGCTTAGCAGGGTAGTGGCAGTAATAATTAAAGTTATTTGCAACATCATACTCTAGTTGTTTTGCACCTCCTGTGTGTTGGTAGTTGTTTTTGATTATTGAAAATATTTAAAACATGTACAGTAATTCTAAATATATAAGCCTCTTGCAATAAGAATACAATACAGTATTCTTTTTATATACTATTACTATTTTATATACTATTTTTATATACAGTACATATACTATTTCAGAGGGATACAGTTCTGCAGGCTTTGCATGTCCTTGTATTGTTAAAATGCAATCTGCTTCAAACCTGTTCATATTTATGCCCTTCCTGTACTGTAAGTTATTAGTTTATTTCAGCAAATTGAGCAAATGTGAAAGAAAGGAAATCAGGATCTCCAATATCTGCTCTAATATTATAATGATGAATATGTGTATGTGAGTGTGACTATATAGATAATAACAATAAAGATAGTTACATAAATTATTTTAATGTCTAATACTGTTTTTAATTTTGGAACTTCGTTGTGCTAGAGATATGATTTGCTATTAACACTTTAAAAAAATCAATGTGTCATATTCACAAGTTACACAAGATGGCACCATTGCAACATGTATCTCTTCTATGTGTTCTGCATGGGTTTAGGAGGGTTCTTATGAAATTTAATTTTACATTATGAATAGTATGTGTGCTGAAATAAATGATTGAGTATATTATTAAAACAGTTTGCTGTTTTTCTTATTGTTACTGTTAAGCATGAATTGTTTTTAGACATCCATTTTAAATGTTGCTCAACATATGTGATTTAAAGATCACACAACATGGAAAACTCAATGGATTGATGAATGAATAACCATATATTTTATATCAGTTTGGTGTATCCATTTTTAACCAGCTTTTTAAGGTATAATGGAAGACTAAGGTGTTTTTCAAGGTTTTCATGAGGTATTACCACTTCATACCACATGGGGAGGCTCATGTAGCAAGAATAACTACAATCTACTGTACATGAGCACATTGATACAGAGTCTGGACTTTTTTCAAGTATTACAGTAGTTTCAAAGCCTTGATAGGGATGTAATTATTAATGTATTTCAGTTACATTGTTCTATACAGTTTAACACTTTTTAAAGACCAATTTATCTGTAATGATGTAAACCAACAAAATCCTAAATCCAGCTCCTCTGTGGATGTTTCATGTTTTAACCTTGTGCTCATGGGCTTTCTCCAAGTACTCCTGTTTTCCCCTCCTTAGTCTTTGTGTCCTGTCTCAGGGATGCATGAAATGATACCTATTATGTATGTTTGTCAATTAATGTATTATTATTATTATTATAGGTTGACAATATCAGCTGAGTGTCCTATGCAGCTGGAAGATTTCCCAATGGATGCACATGCCTGCCCTCTGAAGTTTGGGAGTTGTAAGTAACTACAGAAAATAACAAATGTTAATAGTAACTAAGAAATAGTTCAGTATTTGTTACACACCATTAAGAGTTCACAATGTAAACCTCTTAAGGGATTTTAAGGTTATTTTACATTAGTTTATGAAAACTAATGAAAGGTAATGACTAACCAGCATTTAGAATTAGACAAAAAACTAATCTCGGTTTAAATATTTTTTTATTCTTGACTGAACTGAAGAACTGAAGGCTTTAAAGAATGTGTTTTCATCAATACAAGAGTTGGTCATCTGATATATAATTTAGCTGACACAAATTGACTGTAAAGAATGGTTAATCGATAAATCACTGCTTAATTTCCTGGTCTCAGCTCCGGCATGGATTACTATTCCATCAAGATGAGTTGTAACTACCCACATAAGCAATTGAAGAAGATGTCCACCAGAATGCACATTCTCACGTAGAGAGGTGGCTCCCATTTATAAATGCAGAGACTTCTGTTTAAAAATTGGCTTCTTTTTCTCTTTGTCCTCTTAATTGTTGCTCTTGTTGATCTTATGAATGCAAGTGCTGTGGGTACTGCCATAGAAACAGCAACCAGCTGCTAAAGCAGTTGCAACAGTAATTTATTATTATTGTCATTGTTGCCCTAATTATTGCAGGTGTTTTTGCTGCAAGTCTTTCTTAAACCCAGTGCTGAATCTACATAGGCTAAGTATCACTGGTTATTGCACTAAAATACTGTAGATACCATTTTACAGTATTTTCAGCAGTCAGACATCATCAAATACAGTAGCTGAGGGTGGAAAGAAGAGATGCATCTTGGTCAGCCATGCAAATGCACATCAATAACAACCAACTACAGTATACATAATTTTCTCTCCTTCATAAAATCACAAAATATACTGCCTTTCTGAGTAAAGATTGGTAGTCAGATGAATAAGCAAAATAAAAGCAGAATAATCTGTAAATAAGCAAATGCTTTTAATATCAAATTGCATGACAGCTTTTATATACAGTCATCTATTCAAAATTAACCTTTAATGGCCAAAAAATGAAATAAAGGAGATGTACTAGTCCTGTTTGCTTCCTTTAATTTAATGACAATGTAAGGGATTTGTAGGGTAAAATATGAAAGACTGGATTATCTGCTTTCATGTCATGCTTGTAAGGTTTTATATTTAATAAACTGTACATTGCATTTGCTGTGGTTCTTAAACACTTACATCTTCATATTTTTAGCTTTCCTTTCTAATGCTGGAGGTTGCCGGTAGGACATCAACAGATACAGTATATTATCTGTTGATGGATGGTACAGTACATCAATACAAGTGCTCCGTGTTTTGACAGTAGAATAGAGGATGAAAAAAACATGTTTTACAGTAGGTCTTCCTTGATTAGTGGAATTTCTGAAAAACCAGAGTTTTTGATATTGGACATATGTGTATTTTATTATTGCTTGAAGACGATTCTGCTGGAAAAGGATTTATGGAGGAATATACTGTACCAAGAGTTCCAAGTGAGCTTTACTCTTGTTTATTGAGATCATCCTGGCTGACGCCTCTATTGAGCCAGCAGTATGCCACCAGTAATGACAGGACTTGACATCTAGAGGGTTATTAACCTATGACTTCATTGTTATTCTCATCCTCAGGTGAATTCTGGTGTATTCACCCCAAGCATCCCTGTCTCCAGGACCATCACTTCGTTAATTCATTGGTTACTATAGTAACGAGGCCAGGTCAATGGATTATAGTACCAGTGTGCAATTAAACAATTACTCACCTTGTTCACCATATTTAAGCTCTTTGATTTAAGCTCTGTGATGACAGTATTCCCTGCTCTGTCATAAAATTACACCCCTCGCCTTTATTTTCCCCTCCCTTCTGTGTTTCTTATTCCCTGGCTTTGAGTACCCTGGTTCATTTTTTGACCAATCTCTCGGATTTCCCCTTGTGGCTTCTTCTGTGCTTAACTGGCTCCAACCTTTGACTGCCTGACTGGGTACTTGGACTGTTTACTTTCAGTTTTGTCAGCCTGAACACTGATTGCTTCATTGCTTTAGGCATAACTGGATTCAGCCTCCTGTCTCATGGCCATTGCACTTGATCAATTGAGTGTAACAGGATTACAGTATGACAGCTACAGTACATATATGAATCCAGTGGGCTCTAAAGATTTCCACTGAGTGCTGGCCAGTCACGCTATGCTTGGAGTTCTCAGGAGGCTAGTGTATCTGAGCTGAGGGATGTAGTACAAAACCTGTGCACTAATATGAACAACATGCAGCAGGCATTCCCCTCGCTCCGTCAGGTAGCTCCAGCTCTGCCCTCTGCTGCAGCACTGCCTCTTGGACAGTCGCCTTCCCGAGAGGAGATAGGACAGACCTCTGTGTTTTCTAATCCATGCACAGGGGAAGAACTGATGCAAATAGGAAGGGCCAGTCTCACTCTGGCAGAAAATCTGTGGTGTCAAAAAACAGATCAGCCCTCTCCACCTCACAGTCAGCACCATGTACACCAAAATAACTTCAATGCTATGTGTTTCCTCTACTCTCAGTCTGCTGGTTCTGGGTTCCCATGGCTGGAGCACCAAAACCACAATTCAACTGGGTTTGCCACCTCACCGGCCCTATGGTTGCCTCATTATTCTTTTGTCAGGGACATCCTCTCCCAGTGGTCACCTTTTTCACTTTCTCCAGTCAAAACACAGGCCATGCAGAGACACATCGAGGAGAATCTCCAGAAGGGTTTCTGTTCATCCTCATCTCTGGTTAGTGCTGGATTCTTTTTCCTCTAGAAGAAAGATGAAACCCTTCATGCATGTATAGACTGCAGTGGACTGTACAACATCACTGTCAAAACAGATATTCCTTTCCATTTTCTTCTCCTTGCGAGAAAACAGAAAAAAATGATCTAATATTGACCTGGGAAGACCCTACATCCTGGTGCAAATTTGGGAGTGAGAAGAGTGGAAGACAGCATTCAACACGAGCTCCAGGAATAAGGAATGTTTTGTCACGGCATTTGAAATCTGTAATGATCCTGCAGTGTTTCAACTTAGTGAATAACATCTTTTGGGATTTCCTCAATCATGAATCTAGTAGTAGTCTACAATGATGACTTCAGCTTCACATTCTACATGTTAGGCAGTGTTTTTTGATCAGCAATGCCAACAACATTTTTTCGCTAAATTAGAAGTTTGACGTTCACAAAGTCACATTTCTGGGGTACCACATTTCTCTATCATTTTGCATCCCTAGGATGTCGTATCGGCTCCCATCACTTTCTTTTCCAAGAAGTTTCCTCATGAGGGCAGGTGGTCCCCCAAAGACCTGCAAGCATTTGACAAGATGGAGCCCTTCTTTACATTGGCTTCCTTGTTGCAGCATTTCGAACTGGATGTGGAAGTAGGGCTGTCCATCGAGGGTTCTTCACCCTTGAGCTTATTTTTCCAGGAGGCTCTTAGTACCTGTGCAGAGCTATGATGTGGGCAATAAGTTACTTCACAACCTACAAAAATCTAGCCTGTATGGAGAAGGCAAAAACACTAAGCCCTTGCAGGTGAGATGGGATTTATTATCTTCATGATTCAGTTAAACCATGTTGTAGAAGCTCGGGTTAAAGAACGATAAGGCTGATGCTTTCTGAAGGACAACTCCATGGTGGATCCTTAGCACATCGTCCCACCCTCCTGCATCATTGGTGCTAATGGTTGAAGAGACAGTGAGGTCAGCAAAGGTTTCTGTTCCTGCTCCTTCAAATGTTCCATCCAATAAACTCTTCATTCCTACTACTGCCGGATACAAATCGTCAGCGGGTATTTTTGGTGGCCTAATATGAGTAGGGATGTTGATAAATTTGTTGCAGCTTGTTCTATCTCAAATCATTTTGTGCCAGCCACTTGCAACCTCTACTGTCTCCTCAGCATCCATGGTAATTAATTTCGGCAGCTTTCATCAACTGGTGTTCCTTGTCCCTGGGGCTGTTGCATCAACTTAAGCATGGCCAACCAATTTTCAAAAGACTCCCATTTTGTTCCTTTACACAAGCTCTGTCTGCCCTTCAGATGGCTTACATTTTTGTGAAAGAGGTTTTTCGCCTGTGTGGGTTCCCCTTCTACATCACCTCCAACCATGCCCTCCAGTTCGTCTGCAGGTTTTGGTGTGCCTTCTGTAGATGTCTGGGGATCAAGATCAACTTATCCATGGGATGCTCTCCAGAGACAAATGGGTAGATGGAACAGATGAATCAGGACCCAGAGACCTACCTGAGATGCCACATTTTCACTTCTAAGAGTCCTGAGTACAGCTGTTACTCTGGGTTTAACTTTCTTGTAACGTCCTCGTTAACTTCATTGAGATATCACTATTCCAGTGCATTTACAGATAGCAGCCTCAATTGCTATCCTTCAATCCAGAGACCGCAAGCATACACAAACATATCCACCACCAACAGGGCCAGTTGAAATCGGAGATGTGTACAGTAAAACAGTACATTGCAATTTTGTGAAAGCCTCCCAGTGATAAAAGAAATTTGCTGATCATCACAGGCACAATCCTTGTCCTCGTGAAGTTCTGTGCTTTAAACCCATGAATAATTGGTTCTGACCTACTGTACCTGATCACCTGCCTTATGAGGCACTTGGACTGAGTTTACTTTCAGTTTTGCCTGTCTGAACACTGTTTGCTTCTTTGCTTCACCCACAAATGGATTCAGTCTCCCATCTCATGGCTATTGCACCTTATCTGGAGAATGCAACAGGGTTATATGCCTATTCTAGATTCTAAATTCTAGATATACCCACTTCCCTTGGGATATGGCAATAGATATTTGACTGTAAACCAGTTATTGAGGCACTTACTAGCCTGATTTTAGTAAAGAATATTTTAAAAAAGTTCAACTTAATTTGATTAAGTTGCTGTACTTTTAAGAATAGTAAATTTGTTCAGATACCTTTATGTAAAAAAGTCTAGCTTTTAAAAACATAGCAATAGCATTCATCCAGCTGTTTCATCA